TCGCTTGTTTCTTCAAAATATTAAGCGGGACGCGACGAGTATGTAACGAATTTCCTCGCCAATTTACAAATTCGCCAATTCGCCAATCCGTCAATTCGCCAATTCGCGAATTCGCCAATTCGTACATTCGCCAATTCGTGAATTCGCCAATTCGTGAATTCGCCAATTCGTACATTCGCCAATTCGTGAATTCGCCAATTCGTGAATTCGCCAATCCGTCAATTCGCCAATTCGTGAGTTCGCTAATTCGTGAATTCACTAATTCGCCAATTCGTGAATTCGCTAATTCGTGAATTCGTCAATTCACTAATTCGCCAATTCGCGACATCGTCCCGATTCGAAGAAGAAATCGGTATTAAAAGGGACGAGCCTCTCGTGAGGACGAGGACGAGAGAGCGACAGGAAGTGGGTAGAAGAGCTTTCCGAGCGAAGCTTGCTAAGAGAGATAAAGACGTCGTTTGTAGCGCATTAAGAAACAACGCCCGGGGCCATGGATAGCCAACAAACGGAACACAAAGAGGAAGACGCCGGCCTGTATCTGGAGCGCAGCGCAAATTAGCTCGAGGAAATTAACCAACCAGGAACAGCTCGGTCAAACAATGAAATTAAGGATTAAATTTCAACGCTTCCACTCGTGGATCCTAGCGAACGCGCCTTCCTACTTGGCAAACGTCGATTCGCCAGTCGAACAGGAGCTTCTTAAAGCTATCTCGCTGTTTGCGAGATTATTTTGCGAATGGAATAAGGGATGAAACGGTGCTTCAACGGAAGTAGCTGGAGAACTACTCGGAACACCCTGTTCTTTGACGAATTTTCCACTCGTCATGGTTAAACTGCTGGGAACTTGCGAGAACAGCCATTAAACTCCGACGATAATCGGGCTGCAATTAAACCTTCGCAGTTCGACTTCGAATTCGAGGCAGCAGTTCAGACTTATAAATAGATTTATAAATAGCCTCCCGTGTCTCCACGATTTTTCACCAACGCGGAAGATCATTCGGACGTTCGTATCTATGAAGATACTATGAAGAACTTAGAAGTCGGTCAGGTCGAGAAAATAGTTTTTCTTCGTCACACGTCGTCATTAGAAGTCGGCCAAATCGAGAAAATAACTTTCCTTCGTCACACGTCGCCATTAGAAGTCGGCCAGGTCGAGAAAATAGCTTTCTTTCGTCATATATCGTCATTAGAACTCGGTCAGGTCGAGAAAATAGCTTTTCTTCGTCATATATCGTCATTAGAAGTGGGTCAGGTGGAGAAAATAGCTTTTCTTTGTCACACGTCGTCATTAGAAGTCGGTCAGATCGAGAAAATAGCTTTCTTTCGTCACGCGTCGTCATTAGAAGTGGATCAAGTGGAGAAAATAGATTTTCTTCGTCACGCGTCATCATTAGAAGTCGGTCAGGTCGACAAAATAGCTTTTCTTCGTCATATATCGTCATTAGAACTCGGTCAGATCGAGAAAATAGCTTTTCTTCGTCACACGTTGTCATTAGAAGTCGGTCAGATCGAGAAAATAGCTTTCTTTCGTCACGCGTCGTCATTAGAAGTGGATCAGGTGGAGAAAATAGATTTTCTTCGTCACGCGTCATCATTAGAAGTCGGTCAGGTCGACAAAATAGCTTTTGTTCGTCATATATCGTCATTAGAACTCGGTCAGATCGAGAAAATAGTTTTCCTTCGTCACACATCGTCATTACAAGTCAGTCAGATTAAGAAAATAGCTTTTCTTCGTCACATATCTTCATTAGAAGTCGGTCAGGTCGAGAAAATACCTTTCCTTCGTCACACGTCGCCATTAGAAGTTGGTCCGATCAAGAAAATAGCTTTTCTTCGTCACACGTCGCCATTAAAAGTCGGTCAGGTCAAGAAAATAGACGGAAGCGTCTCTCTTCAATTTTTCTTCGTACGTTGTCACAGCTAACTTTCGAATAAGCGACAGCGAATGTCAGACTAATTAGAAAAGGCTTCCAGTGCCCCAATAATCGCGTATCCACGCGATTAGGCTGACACAGCGATCGGTTACCAATCACAGCCGCCTGACATGTCTGCCGAGTTCTCTACTCGCGTCTACCGTCGTTACAGGAAGGAACAGACGAGACAGCGGAGAAGAAGAGGATGAACAGAGGCACTCTGACGATCGTGGTGCTCGCGTTTGGACGTCCATGGTTATTAGACCGATAACTCGGAACGGGTCCACGGGCTGACAGGGTATCGCGATTCAGGCGTCTGAAAGTTGACCAGCTTCTTTATTCGACGAACGAAAGGGGCATTATGTAAAGTTCTTCATCCAGCGGGCGTAGCTTTGCCCGAAGGCTTCCCTTTTAGACCGGGAGCAAGACTGGATAGACGTAATTGGAAACTTGACCCTGACGTTTCCCTGTCCGAAATAGTGTCGCGGAATCTCCACTCCGTAAGCTGACGCTGAAACGAGTGTAACGCACGCCGTGGATCGATGAGGGAAGCACTTCCGACAGCTCGCCAGCTTAATAGGATCAATTAACGACGAAATATATTTCGCTCCTACAATTATCACTTCTTCCTGGCCTTCTAGGTCTTTCCAACTTTCTTACTCTCTTGTTTAAACGCTAGATTTACGGAACCCGTCAATTTGACGAAAGGGCTGTTCCAATTATACGATGGTAACAGATTTAGTTAACCCTTTGCACTCGAGAGGTAACTCTCGTTGTCAGTCACCGTTTGTTTCAATACCTGGAAGCCTGAGTAACGAGTATGAGATATTACCAGATTAAAAATAACTCCACATGAAATATTGAAATGAAATACACGTGATTTTCTCTTTTTATTTTAACATAAATGGTAATTCTCACTGAGGTAAGAAAAATATAAGAAAAACTTCGAATTGTTATATCTTCATAACGAGGAAATTTTCCAGTGCACAGGGATAATAATTTGAACGATTAATTGAATTTCCTACCACGTTAAACGTGGAATTGGTACTGTTGATTTTAATCATCTTACCATTATTCGATACCTTACCTAATCCTTTGGACTCGAAGACTTTTTCGTCGTAAACAGCAATTCGAAGCTTTTCTTAGATTTTCATAAGTTCGCTGATACTCTTTATGCCAAAATAAAAGAAGAAAATCATGCATTTGTGTGAGAAATGAACGAATAGAATTATTTTATTTCGATATTTTGCGCGTAGTTGTTAATATAATTATCATCATTCGTTATTTTAGTTATAGCATTGAAGCAAACGGTGACTGAGAGTCACCTCTCGAGTGCAAAGGGTTAACTTATATTAAGACTGTTAATATAATATATAATTGTTTTTAAATTAAACTAATCGTTAAAAAAAAAGGCACGTGGTTTCCTTTACCTGTCAATTTGACAGGTGTCCTTAAAAATAGGTATACAGATAGCGTCCGTAAACCTAGTGTTAATCGCCACTAACTTGCTCCCTCGTTTATCTATCTATTTATTTTATTTTATTTAGGTTTCCGATTTTTTTCGCGATTTTATTCGGTTATTTATTTTTATTTTATTTTTCCACATTTTTCTGGATTTCATTTTTAGGTCAGGTGATGAGAAGAATCGATATTTCACGATATTTGGTGTAGCAGCTACGATCGATGGGGTGAGGGAAGGACCGAGATGGAGCTAAAGTCGATTTTCATAGCACGACAGTAGCGATGCAGTAGTATGAGACGGAAACGAACGGACATCCAGTAGCGCGATTACGATTGCGTCGATCCGATGGAACTGCGACCCCAACGAGACGAGAAGCACTCTAATTTCACTTTAGAAGTCTTAAGTTGAGAGAAAAAGTTGACGAAAGTCGCAATAAAAATCTATTAGAGAAAACGAGATTTCCCTCCGATACCGGGTTAAATAACGATACTAAATCACACGTTCGCTGCGAGTCGGAGGAAAATTTGTGCACCGATATTTACTTGCATATTGGATTTCACGAGAATTATTGCGGAAGCTCTTTCTCAAAATGGTATAGGTAATAATTACAGCGGGATAATGGAAATAAGTAGACGTATAATTACGTTTCTGTCTACATAAATGTCATCGTAAATCTCGCTGAAAATATCCGCGTGTTTTAACATTTGCATCTTAACGCGCGGGAAATCTAAAACTGGTCAGTTCGATCGCTATTTCAGCGTTAATTCATCCCGAGAGAATAAGAGAAATTATTTTGATTCTCTGACATTTAACCTTTTGACTATGGCAGACTTTGAAACGCAGAGGGATCCATTTGCAATGTACTCCGAGAACGGTGCAACTTTTCGTTAGGTGTGCATTTCTGAGAAAGTGTCGTATATTCAAATAATAATTAAAATATTCCATATTACGTTAAAATAACATTATTTGTTTCTTTGTATTCAGCACACCTTTGACTATGGCAGACTTTGAAACGCAGAGGGATCCATTTGCAATGTACTTCGAGAACGGTGCAACTTTTCGTTAGGTGTGCATTTATGAGAAAGTGACGTATATACAAATAATAATTAAAATATTCCATATTACGTTAAAACCATATTGTTTGCTTCTTTGTATTCTGCAGTAAATTGTTACTGCACGTATAAAATTTAACAGGAACCGGAACTTTTGGGCGCTTTTAGGTATCACAGTATCACAAGTGCAAGTTTTCTGAGCACCTACAGTAGTCAAAGGGTTAGTATCGTATTTGTATCAAAATATCGAAATTCCTCCATTACGAAGTAAAACTATTTATTATATTCTATACAGCGAACTTGTGGAAAGATGGTTGGATGAAATTAGAATTAGCAAATTCTGATTAACCTCGGTACTACGTCATTATAATGGCTTTCGTGGGTGCCATTTTGAAACGCGATGCGCCGCTGCAGTGGCTCACTCTGTCGGCAGAACCACGTAAGTTATCATTTACATTTGCTTCACTTCGCATTGCCTTGGGCACGCAACGATGCGTTGCACTGTGCTTTAAAATACATCATACTGAGCTGTACATCATTAATTATTAAAACACACGTGTTTATATTATCTTATAATAATCTTAAATAAAAAAGAAAATTATAATTTATCAAAAATTATATGTAATTATACGTATTCTAATTTACAGCTTTGCAAGGAGCACTAAAAGACGCAAATTGCAGTGCTGCATTGATCAGGGTGATTGGAACAACAGCTGCGGGGTAAATCGAGGCGTACCTAAGAGGTTATGTTCGAATTTGCGGACCACTCACCGATCTGCAGGGCGTCTTGAACACTCATGGACCGGAAATAGTTTTCTCCACGCTGGAATTCGTCCGCGCTGCCGTTCGCCAGGCAGGAATAGAGCCTGATGTCCTCCTCGTTGTCCGGAAAGCTCCAGAAGGCTATCCTGAGCTGCAGCTGCTCCGGGACCGGTGGATAAACGTGCTCCACCAGCTCGAACGGGATGTGGGCGGCGACGCATCGTGCAGCGAGTTCGCAGAGCGTTGGCACTGCTTGACCATTGTAAAGAAAAAAATATTTGGTCAGTTAAAAATCTCTGCAACTCGTCGTACATATTTATACACCTCTTTTTCAATTTTTATTCCGAGAATGAGATTAATTATCCAAGCTATCGAAGCGAGAAAATTGTCCCAGTTGTTCCAAAAATCCGATTACTTGCTTTAATATATTTTACTATATTACTATATTACTATGTTACTATATTACTCGTCGTAATACAGAGAGCTAGATTTCATCGGTATTTTTCAGTCGATTTCATGAAAAAATGTTATATATAATTGGAACAACCGAAATAATAGCAGACGACGGTTCGATCTGACTGGTTACTTATTTATGAGACGATACGGACAATTATAATATAGCACACCGATATTTCAGGTATCATAGGTTTCGCCAAATCGATTCGATCTTTCGGCAAAAATATTTCCCGAGATGCTCCCCCTTCGACTCACGCCCATTGCTATTTTTATATCCCAATTTCTTCTGTCACATTTTTCACCACCTCCTCCCTTCGCATTTCCCACCCCGTCTTTTCCTCTATCTCGTTACTCTTCGTACCTCTGTATCACGATCAGCTCATCGAACGCATAACGCATTTTGCCTGACAAGCTGCCCGAATCATGCCCAAGAAACGCTCAGAGAGAAAGAGGAAACTTCTTCTGGAAGCCATTACTCGAACTCGGAGAGCTGGATGTATCGATGAAGCGAATTCCACGGCGAATTCTTATATGTAATCTCCTTTCCCGGAATGGGGAGAAGAAAACGAAGGGAAAGGGAGGGGAGTGAGAAGGGGGAGGAGGGTGAGGCCTCGGGATCGTCGATGCAAAAATAATCGGTCATTTTTTTCTCTTCCGGCCATCCGTTTCGCGTTACGGAGACGCCTGGAATCGCAGCCTCGACTCTTCCTCTCGCGAGAACAACGCGAGAGGACGAGAATGGAAGAAAGGACGGAGGAGAAAAAGGCTAAACGGCGTCGAGGGGACAGCATTTTTATCGCGGGGCCGCGACCGCAGACCGGAAGCGTCGCGGTCCACGAAAGCGGGGTGCGAGAAGAGGCGGAATAGAAGCGGGATAAAAGCGGGTACAAATCGATAAATGGTAAAAAGTTGGCGAAGAACGATGGGGAATAGCCTGTCGCGTTGTTCCAGTGCGAAATGTTCGGTTTAGAGGAGCCAATTTTTCTAACAAACGTCTGTGTTGACAGATTGTTGATGATTTTATGGATACCCAACAGGTCTGCCATGGATACCCTGGTGAATCTTCTTGTGGGCTTCATCTTGGGAAGAGTAGAAGCGGAACAGAAGCGGATTAGAAAGGAATTTTAGTCGAGAAATGGTAAAAATTTGACGAATAATGCGAGAGAACAGACTGTCACGTTGTTCCACTGTGCACTGTGCACTTAGAGTGGCCGATTTTTCTAATATATGTCGTTGTTGACAGATTGTTGATGATTTTATTGACATTCAACAGGTCTGCCATGGATACCTTCGCGAATCTTCTTGTGGAAGCCATTTTGAGAAGAGTAAAAGAGGAATATAAGGGAATGCTGGTCGATAAATGGTAAAAATTTGGCGAATAATGCGAGAGAACAGACTGTCACGTTGTTCCACTGTGCACTGTGCACTTAGAGTGGCCGATTTTTCTAATATATGTCGTTGTTGACAGAATGTTGATGATTTTATTGACATCCAACAAGTCTTCTATGAGTATCTCTACGAATCCTTTTGTGGGAGCTACCTTGAGAAGAGTAGAAGCAGAATAGAAGCGGATACCAATCGATAAATGGTAAAAATTTGGCGAATAATGCGAGAGAATAGACTGTCATGTTGTTCCACTGTGCACTGTTCAGTTAGAGTGGCCGATTTTTCTAATATATGTCGTTGTTGATAGATTGTTGATGATTTTATTGACATCTAACTGGTCTCCCACGAGTACCTTTGCGAATCCTTTTGTTGGAGCCATCTTGAGAAGAGTAGAAGCGGAAAACAAGCGAAATAGAAGCGGATATCAATCGATAAATGGTAAAAATTTGACGAAAAATGCGAAAGAATAGACTGTCACGTTGCTCCACTGTGAATTGCTCAGTTAGAATGATCAATTTTCCTAATAAACGTCGTCATTCACCGATTGTTCATGATTTTATCGATATCCAACAGGTCTCCCATGGATACTTTTACGAGTCTCGTTGTGCGCTGGTAATTTTGAGAAGCATAGAAGCGGAATAAAAGCGGCTATAAATTGATAAATGCTAAAAACTTGACGAAGAGCGAGAGAGGATGCTCTGTCGCGTTTTGTCCCCGTGAGATCGTAGTGAAAAATTTCGACAATGTGTTCCGTTGAGCAGGAGATCAAACCATAAACGGATAAGCCCGAATTGTAAACAAACAACGGGAAATGTAAACGAACGACTATAAAGGTAAGCCTAGAATAAACATACGTGTTACACGAAGATTTGCACTGCACGGTCAAAAATCACGATTTTAACGTGATATTTGCACCTGGATTCTTCGGCAAATCGCAGCGGTAACTCGTATATTAAACTCTGACTCCGATTTAACGATTCTATCAATTTTACCACGTTTCCCAGTACCGATACCGAGATCTGTTAACCCTTTGCACTCCTCTATAGAGCCTGACTCGATATCAATTTTTATCACAAGAACTCCTATGTCGAATTGCACTCGACGTTTTCTAATTTTCTATTTATTGAACAAGAAAACAGAAAATAAGTAACAACTCGAATTACTTAAATTCAAAATATAAATTACAAGGATGTTTGAGGGCTATATTTAATATAATCAGTAAACGAAATTTTTTAAAATAAATAACAGTCGAGAAAATAAAAATTGAAAGAAACTACTTAAAATAATAGGAAGTCATTAGCAATAAAACTGAAAAATAATTCGGAGTGCAAAGGGTTAGAAAAGCATGTATTGAGATTATGGGTTAATAATTATAAAATAACCACGATATGTATAATTTTCTTTTCGATTCTTGTATTACACAAGGAAGTTATATCTAACTTCTAGAGTTTCCCTAGGTTTAACAATAGGTTTAGTTTTCCCAAACCACCAATTCTTATCTACCGTTTATATAAACGTTCTTTCTCAGACATTTAGACTCATCTAGACAACCTCTTCAACGTCAGCCAGATGTTTCCTTGCATAACCTGTCTTTGCTATCATCTTCCCGTTCACCAAAGTATCCCCCTATATTTATATATCCAATTTATTTATAACCTTCGTCATATTAATTTTATCAACCTTTTACACTCCGTGCAATTTTTAACACGACCTAACACAAACCCAAAATAATTTTTACTATGGGCTATCAGCCATTCTGGGACTATTTAAAATGGCGCCAACGCACTTCGGTGGAAGATCAAAGATCTTACTTTGTCATTAAAAAATGATAGTGCGTTCGTATACGTTTTAAAAATATATTTTATTATATCTCCGCTGCGATGACAAAGGAGCTATTAGCATACTTAACAATGACAACGGAGAGCTAGGGATTAATCTGATTATATCACTGTTACGAGATCCTAAAATTGAGTGGACCCTTTCCAACAACGCCCTCTGTAAGAACAGTTAGATAATCACTGTGTACGGAATCGGAATATACACTAACTCAAAGTAATTTTAGCAAATTTTACTTTACAATATACCTCCAGCGGACCTCTATGGAAGATTGAAAATCTTACTTTGTCATTCGAAAAAGAAAGTGTATACGTTTCAAAAATATATTTTATTATACCTCCGCTACGACAAAGGAGCTATTAGCATACTTGAAAATGACAACAGCGTGCTAGGGGTTAATCTGATTATATCACTGTTACGAGATCCTAAAATCGAATGGATCCTTTTCAGCGGCGTCGTTTGCGAGAACAGTTGCACGGTCGCTGTGCACGGAATCGGAACAATCGGCAATGGCGGCGAGATAGATGGCGCAGCGAGCGCCGATAGATCTCGTGGAAGCCGTCAGTGGACGGTTTCGCGTTCCCGTTAATTTCACGGTTAAATTGTATTCAATTAGAATCGATTTGTGACTCGGTGAGCGACAGCCTGTCCGTCCAAGCGTCTCTCCTTTTTTCCACCCCCTGTTCGTTGCAACCGCGACAATAACCGCGGTCGTAGCCTTAATGAGCGCGATAATGAAAGCGACTCGTTAACAATTTCAAACGGCGTTACATAATTGCGCTGGTCGGCCGGTTCGGGTCAGCTTCGGCGCGTTCAGCGCGCGTTTTAATGACTTACCCCTATACGGGAATATTCAACGAAATCCTTCATCCGGCAGATTCGATTCCGCCGATCCGTGTCGGCAACAACGCGCCCCGTAAACGAAGCTAATTCGAATTAACCCCATCCCCAGCGACACCGGTATCTTCCGGTTCGAATCGTACCCTGGAGCGTCGTAAATTGGTCGTAGCGGCGCTCCGATGGAAACTTTCTGCATCGTCTCGCGCATCGAGTTAGCTCGCGTGTCGAGCAAGGGGTAGCAAAAGGTTCCGAAGAACCGAATAAAACAGCTGATCGAATTTTCCGAGCACCGTGGAGGATGCAACGCTGACAGAGACGAGGAAATTAACCCTGATCGGTCGTGAGTCACCTCTCACGTGACAGCAGTACTTGGTCGCTGCGGTCGTGCATCACGTGAGAAGTGGAAAGACGGAAGTCTGTCGTGTATTCATCAAAGTCTGCTACAACCTAGCGAGAATCACGTACAAAAGACTAGCGACCCCGAGTGACGTGACTCGAACTCATGGACCACCGATCGTTCGAACTCTTGGACCTTCGAACGTTCCTCAGGATCAGGGATCGAATCGGTACTCTGAAAAATGCACTTTTAGTTGGTCGAAAGGAACTCTGACGAACTGCTAAACTCTTTCACACATACAGCATTCGCTGAGGGAGCATTCAACCTATGTCTAGCTTCTATCTAGACTTGGGCTCGAAATAGAAGTCGGTCAAATGATATTCCAAGTGTGACA